AACTGGGTGGCTTGGAATGGTACCAGGGGAGAGTGAGGATCTAGGGGAAGAGCCTGTCTAGAGGGATTAGTTACCTGAAGTTGACTCAGGGCAGGAATGAGTGCTGGAGGCAGTGGAGGTGCCTTGCGAAGGTTGAGCAGAACCGACAGTCCCAATAACTGAAGATCAGGCCTATGGAGGCAGAAGAGCTAAGGAGGTTGCAGTGTGTGTGCATATTGGGGAGATAGCAGGTAGGGCAGGGCAGAGGCACAGGTCTGATTTAGCATTAGTAGTCTTTAGGAGAAGTCAGTTCCTGGTACATTTGGGAAACAACAAGCAAAGGGCCAAAGTCTGGGATGGATGTCCAAGAGGTGGTGACCAGTAATCTGGAGTTTACTGACGAGGCCAAGGGACTACGGTCTGGAAATAAGAATTCTATGTTTTGGCAAGGTATGAATTAAATACAAGCCTGTAGCATGGTGTCTGGAAGTCAGAAGTCAGTAAGGTCAAAGACTTGGAAAGCTGAGAGTTGAAGAAGTAGGTGTGCTAAAAATCAGAAGGTCAGTGTCCTGAGAAGGAGGTCAGGTCCTCAGGACTCAGGAGGTTACTGTATAGGGTCCTCGTGCTCACCGCAGTTACCTGAGCAGTGAGTGGAGATAATGAAGAGTAGTGCTCAGCATGTCTCTGGAGGGTGGGGGCTCCTCAGGAGGGCACGGTGGGGTAATGGTCAGTAGAGCTCGCCCACTCTGGTCCACCCCTCCTGAAGACACAAAATGGCCAGGCTGTCCTGGCTGGGAGCAGTCCTTGGCTACCTCCCTTCCACCCTACCTCCCTTCCACGCCCACTTCAACTGCTTCTCTTTCTCCAAGTCCCTCTCCCTTTATATACTGATGTCCACTGACCAGTCAGGATGAGGAATCCAGATGCCATCAAGTCCCAAGCTACATCAGGGTCATCAGAGATGGAGACTGGAGGGGCCTCTTCTGGGATGCTATCCCCTTTTACTTCCTGCACTGTCTCCAGGGGTTGTGTTAGGGGGTCAGACAGGAGCCCCTCTGTGGATCCTACAGAGACACAGGCAGAGCTGTGGCCTAAAGTGAGGATGGGTCTGGCTGTTTTGGCCCCAGCCTAACCCCTGATCCTCTTCCAGCCCACCCTCTGTCTTGGATCTCAGTGTCCTCTTACCTGCCATACTTGCCAGGTTTGATCCCTCTTGCACTCTCTCTTGGGGCCCTCCTTCTTTAGGCCCACAATCTTCTGAAAGCCAAGGCTCTTTTTCACCTGCTGGTGTGAGCTCCTCTTTTGGTTCACATTCTGGCTTTCCAGAGCCTTCATTCTCTTCCTTAACTAGACTGGATTCTGGAAGCTCTTGTACATTTGGTGAAAGCAGATTGACAAGGGCTTCCTGGTGGATGGTCTCTTCCTTGTCCCCAGGGCTGAGTGGGGCACTATCCCCTCCTCGGCTAAGAGCCACTCTGCCTGCAGCTCGCTTCTTTCTCCTGTTTCCTTTGCCTGTTCTCCGAGGTGTACCAACTGGTCCTTCAGTTCCCTGGCCTGCTTCTCCTCCAGATTCCTCTGGCCGAAAGGGGCAAGATTCAGAGGCTTCTCCCAAGGCTTCTGTTGGAGGCTCAGACACCTCCAGGACTGCTGCCTCTGGGAGAGCTTCAGCTCCAGGGGGGGACCCAGGAGAGGCTCTGGTGCTGCTTCCCTCACCAGGTGGGCGTGCTCCATCCTGGTCCCGAGTCCCCAGGCCTTTCTGGTGCATCCATGCCCGGTGTCTCCGGTGCCGGCCCTTCCCTCCAGCACTCTTGCGGGTGGGTACTGTCCGGGTTCTAGACAGGCCAGAAAGGCCCTCAACATCTGTGGGGCTTCCTCTCGCAGGCAACGTCACTTCTAATAGCTCCACATACTCACCCTCTGGTCCTTCGGCAGGAGCATTGTGCCCATCCCCAGGACTCCGGGTGCCTAGCACCTCCTCAGGGAGTGGAGGGCTAGGAAGCCCTGGGGGTCCAGGTGGCAGTTCTGGGGGTATTGTGCTTGGCCGATGTCCAACCATGAGGCCCCCTTTGTGTACAAATCGTGGGCAGATGAGCTCGGCCCAGGGCAGTCTCTGAATCCCAGAGGGTGCAGATAGTAGGCAAGTGCTGAGACGACCTGTTGGTCGGTCCTTGTTGATGCCTTGCAGCCACTCAGGTGTGAATAGGTAGGCACAGGCCTCATTGGGCACAGGCAACTCCTGCACCCGCCCACCCCCTGGGGCTAGACACTTGAGGGCCAGACGGGGTGCTTGGGCTGCAGAGGGCACCACTTGCAGATAGAAGTCTCCTGGGCGCAGCAGCTGCCAGGGCAGAGCTGCTAGCTGCACCACCACCTGCTCGTGCAGGCAGAGGGGCCAGCCCTCATGGAAGAAGAGGAATCCGCTATACTGGGCCTGGGGAAAGAGGTTGGTAGGCTGCACTCAGGTCTTTGCTGAAGAGACCAGCGGGAGGAGGCAATGAGAATGGGTTCACACTGGGCAGGTATGGCCTTATGCGTGGTGGGCTATAATCCCTGGGGAACAGGAAGGGAGATTTTGGAGTGTTCATGTGGCCAAGGAAGGGATGTCTTCAAATGGTAAGAAGCTTCTCTAGGATGTTAGTTCCATGTGTGGGTGAGTAAGAACTGAATCATTAAAAGATATGGTCAGCAGATGCTATTGTCTTAGAGGAATCAAAGACTCTTGGGTCTCTACATCTGCAGAAGTGAAGTATTTGCTGAGTCATATCTGGGGGAGTTTAGTATCTTGAGAAATTCAAAAGAGGGGGGAAATGTCTAGTATTGGGTCTAAAGGGCCAGGGTCTTTGGGAATTAAAATTTCTTAGAGATTGCTATTTGGGGAAGATGAATGCACATGTACATGTGTTAGTATCTAAGTCACTATCTTTAAGGGTCAAAGACTGTGGAAAATCAGCAAAGTTGAGTGTCTCTGTGGGGAACAGTATTAGGGGAGGCTATGTGTGTGTTGGGGGGATGAGTCTGGTGGTGAGCCTTGGGAGAGGCAGTGGATCTTAGGAGAGTCAAAAAAGGGATGCAAAGCTACTCACACAGGCTTCCTGCTGGACCTTGGCAAGCAGGTGTTTGGCTGGTACCAGGAAGTCCAGTGTGTACCTCAGTGCATCCTCCCGATAAGTCCTCTCTACCACCTGGAACACCTGACCCAACAGGGTGGGGGCTGTGGATTCGAATGGTGGGTACAAGGCGGCAAGCGTGCTCTGCACACAATCTTCCACTGGCTCAGGCTCCTGGGAGAGACAAAACCAGGCTACAGACCCCTAGTGATCACCCAAGCATGACTTTTTTAGGGCCTGTACTGGACTATGGGCAGCTGCATCCCCCAGGACCCCAATGTACAATGTGTGCCCAAGTGATGCTTAGGAAATGCTATCTGAATAAGTCCATGATGGAAATGGGGCAGAGCCAGTTAGAGCGCACAGGCCTATCAGGTCTCTACACTTAAGCTCTGAGACCTTGGCTTTGGAAGTCCGGGAAGAATTTATTGTGAATACTGATGCTTGTAAATTGGGGGTGGTTGCATAGGCTCTCTTCAGGAGACAGAGAGGCTACTGGGCTGTCAGGGACTAAGCTAATAATCAAGAATACCAGAGGATGGGGGAGGGTGCTGCCATACAATCATTTCAGAGATGATTCTGAAAATCATTTTTCCCAGAGCCCAACATCCTGACACCCCCACTTTTAGTGAAGGCGCCACCTTCCACAATTTCACCCTAGAGAAGGTTAAGGGTGGGAAGAAAGAGGATGTAAAGATTGTGACTATCTCACTACTTTATAGTACTCTTTCTTCCAGAGTGGCTCTACAGCAATCATCCATTCCCAGAGCATGTGGGATTGGGTTACAAAAGAATGGGGTGGGCATTTGAAAGAGGAAAAAGGCACAAAAGGAACATGTGGGGAAGGGAGGAGGAGGCCTTGATGGTATGCATTCCAGCTGAAATCTTTTCTGATTCTAGGGGGACCTGAGTCTGCCAACCTGGACCTGTAGTCACCATCTAAAAAGCCCCACTTCATCCTAAGTGAATCAACTGGACATCTTCTCCATCCCACACCCTAACAACAGCCCCTTGGGCTATTCCTTTGCAAGCTTATTTCGCTTTCAAGATGGCCTTTGAAGTTCCTTTTATCAGATTCTTTTGCTGTAAATGGGGAAAGGTATGCTCCAGGCAGTATTTACCTAGCTCTTTGCCCGCTCCGGCCCCCACGTCCTGATTTTGCCCCAAGACAAAACTGCTGTTTTACTCTGGTTGGAGTCGCTTGCTGGTCCCAAGCTAGGCGGCTACTCCAGAGACTGACATTCCGTGCGTCAGCGCACAGATCCGGCCCCGAGATGTGTAGGCGAGCTGACAGACCCCCAAGTGTTCCCAGTACTCCGCGGGCACTGGGCGCGTGGGTGGGGATAAGGTGGAGATGGGCAGGGGTGAGACAGAGTGGGCCGTCGACTCCAAGACCGGGAGGGGGAGATAGAGCTAGAGTAGCAAGGCAGCTGCAACCCATTAGGGGCGGTGAGCTCATGGCTGAGCGAGAGTCTCAGCCACAGGAAACGGCAGCGGCAGGAGGGGAGGAGGGGTCTGGGGCGGGAGGCTGCGGGCGGGAGCCCAGAGACCCGGCTCCTGCAGGCCGGGACTGAAGAAGAGACTAGAGACTGAGTCAGCTCTCCCTGGCCCAGTTCCTCTTTCTTCTAGCTCCAATCTCCTTACCAGGGGGTGCCCTTCCCTCAGTAGAGGAACGGCCCGTTAATGCTCCTAACCCTCCTCCACTCCCTGCAGGGAGCGCCCCCTGGTAGGGCCTCTCTCCCTCCTTCACACTGCAGAGAGAGCCCCCTTGCCTGCCCCCTCCCCCTTTCAGAGAGCGCTCTCCCTGGCAGTGCCCATTCTTGCAATGGATCTTTAAGAATACTTCTGGACTGAAAGTTCCCAGGATAGTGTTCACTCCTGTTGATGTGGGCTTCCAGGGCCCTGAAGTGCTGCTCCAAGGTCCTCTGCCTCTGGCAGGGAGCTCCCGCCCCTTCTTCCTCGGCTCTGCAGAGTGCTCCGTGCGCTTCTCTGCAGCGTGAGCTCTGGGGCACTTTCCCCCTCGATCTTTGGTCGGCTCTGGCAGCGTCACGCCCCCTGGTACTGTGACCCCCCCCTTCCCCGCGCGCCCCATCCACTACCCTAAAGCAGTCCCTTTTTCTCCGCGGGAATTTCCCTCTTTGGCCATGCCCCTGGCCCTGGCCCAGCCACAGCTGCGGCTGGTCCCCCAGGGCCGGATGGGTGGGCCCTCCTCACCGGGTTGGGGACTCGGATGGAAAATGGTGGTTCCAGGCAGGTCAGTTCTCATGACCCGAGGCGGTGCCCCTTGCAGAACTGCTGCAGGACCAACCCGCAGGGGTCTCCCGCGGGTAAGAAACTAGGATCGGGAGGGGGGCGGGGGAGATCCTGCAAAGGCAGGCACAGGTCTGGACAGAGGAGGGGGGAGAGGTGTGTAGATTAAGGGAAAGACAAGGGGGACGTTGGGGGAGGGGGCGTAGGAGAGTGGAAGAAAGGGTAAAGGCAACACGGGTGGGGACAGAGCTAGGCAGTGGGGCAGGCAGGGGGATGGGAGGGAAAAGAGTTTCAGGAGCGCAGAACAGCACAAGGCAGACACAGGAGGCTCTGGGCTGGGGCCTGGGGACCCAGAGCAGACTGCTCGAAGGCGGAGGGGACACAGGGGCTGCGGCGCGGGACTCACCATGGCTCGGCGCCGGGCCGCGTCCGACGCTAGGTCGGTCGGGCGGGCGGGGCTGGGCGCGCCACCGCCTCCCTCCCGCCTCTCGCGTCTCGCCGGGTCTGGCTGGGGGACAGCTCCGGCAGCGGTGGCGGCTCGGCCCGCTCCGGCTCCCAGGCCGCGGGGCCCAGCCAGGGAGGGCCGAGACGGCCGCCCAGCCCCGCCCCGCCCCGCCCCGCCCTTCAGCGCCCGCCCCCGCCTCGGCGCGGGACCCCTTGCCTAGACTCCCTCGCCAAGCTTCTGGGCTGCTGCTCCCCCGACATCGCCAGCCAATCCACCAGTCTCACTCGAAACTCTCTGCCTTCTCCGCCCCGCCCTCCAGTGGGTAGCCCGGACCCTGACCCTCGAAGGCCCGGCCGAGGACGCCCCTATATTCCCGCCGTCGCCTTTCTCACTGAGGGATCAGTTTAGCCTTTCCATGGGACACTACAAAGTCTGGGGCGTGCGTAATTCCCTTAGGTCCCCTGTCTAGGACTGGGTGGTCCGCGGCCGGAAACCTCCGTCTCTAACTCATCTAGGACTCCCTTCTCCCCTCCGTTGTCAGCCTTGGAAGGCTCTGGGGCTCAGAAGAGATCCTCAAGCTCTTGTCCCCTTTGGATAGAACCGAGAGCCTGGAAATCAGGGGATTCCTCTAAGTTCCCGGGGGCTTGCCCGCCCTTCTCCTTCCCCTCCCATCTCCTCGGGCCTCGAACCTCCAGGCTACAATGGGCTCCTCTGTGCTGCTTGGGGAAGGCGGGGGCGTGGGGGGAATTATGGAGCTGTAAAGGCTTGAGATGGGGGGTGGATAATGTGGCTTTGGGGGCAGGGTCCCGGGATCAGGATTTTTCTGTAGAATCGTGCAGAAGGGTGGACATTTTCCGCATTCTCTCTTAGCTGGCCCTTCCTCACCGCATTGCCTATCCCTCTTGGACTAGAGGAAGGAAGGCGCCAACTCCGGGTTAGACACCCACGATTCGGTACTGGATGCCAGACCCGTCCTTCTTGTGCGGTGTTGGTAGTGACCCAGAGCTAGGGCTCGTGGCAATGGGGACCAGTATCTGACGCAGTAGACAAAGGGGGCTAGGCTAGTTTAAAAAGTTGTACCCTCATCCACTCTACTTCACTACCAAACCGCAAGCGTTCTCCATCGCCTCTAGATGATAAGTAATTGCCCTGGGGGTCTCCCAGGAATACTGGCCGAGTCAGGCACAGCAGGATGGTGCCCTGCCTCTTTAAGGCACGGGGGAGCCAAGGCAGAACTATGGGCTTTTCCAAAGGGTAGGCATTGGAGAGGAGAAAGGAAGGCCAAATAGTCCCCCGGAGAGGGGTGTGCAGGTATGCCCACTGCAGTTGTGGGGGTGGGGAGTGGGGGGGACATGTTTAGAAAACGCCCTGTCTTGAAAGCAGTTCCTGAGGCTGGGAGGCTTGAGGGAAAGCAAGGTCGTTGCCAAGGTGACAGGCTCTTCTCTCACCTCCTCAGGACGCCAAATTCCACTCCTTCTTTGCTGTCTTGTTCTGGAAAAGGAAGAGAAAAAATGGTTAATTCTCCTTGATGGCGAGAAGAAACCTCTGCTCCATAGTGTCTAAAAACAATCTAGGGTAGCAGACCTCTGTGACCATCTTCTCAGCAAAGGAGAACCATGGAGACAGAGCTCTTTCCAGTCAAAGGTTGTGAACCCTGAAGTCACCTAAGTTCTCCAGCTTCTTTGTAATTAGTGCCAGGGAGCTAGCTAAGAGAGTAAGATTTTGCTACCCCCTGGTGTCCACTGGGTAAATACTGCCCTGTGGCTGGTTGTAGGGTCCAGCACTTGGGAAATTTTCTCAGAGGATGTTTTATGAACCTTATTAATCACTTGTCTCAAACCCAGCACATCTATGTCAGTATTGAGTGTGAACCTTCCCTTACTGGGTCTTAGATCTCTTGTACTCAAGCAAATTGGGGAACTCTTGGTAAAGTTCAAGATTCCCACAACTAAGCAGTGAAATATATATTTTAAAAAGGAGTGGATCACCCCACCCATGGGAAAAAGGAAGCATTTGAGAGCTTCTGAGTTGGTGGGATGAGGGAGTTTGGATGCAGGGTCTGGAATGCAGTTACCCATTCTTTTCAGGAATTTTAAAATCTGTGCTAAATTGCAAAGTTTTTGTTTTTTTTTTTAAGCGAGTGATATGTATGCTTAAAGTGGTTAAATACCACTTTGTCCAGAGAATGAACCTCTTACATGAAAGAATGTATGTGTGTGTGTGCGTGTGTGTACATGTGCATTTGTACACAATAATCCATTGTCTGTGCTTTTGGTAGGGATATGAAGGAGTAAGTTTTATTTATTTATTTATTTATTGTGCTGAGGATTGAACCCAGTGCCTCACATGTGCTAGGCAAGTACTCTACTACAGAGCCACAACCCCAGTCCAGGAGTAAGTTTTATTTATTTATTTATTTATTGTTGGCTGGGGTACTTGGGATTGAACTCAGGGGCAGGCACTCTATCACTGAGCCACATCCCCAGCCCTATTTTGTATTTTATTTAGAGACAGGGTCTCAATGAGTTGCTGAGTCTGGCTTTGAACTTGCAATCCTCCTGTCTCAGCCTCCCAAGCCACTGGGATTACAGGTCTGTGCCATAGCGCCAGGCTCAGAAGTAAGGTTTAAATGGAGAAATTCGAGGCTGTGAAGAGACCAAGCTTAGAGGCCCTCTCCTGCATTCACAAATATTTCTCATCATAATTCTCCAATTTCAGATTCTGTGGGACTTATCAAGCTCCTATTTTATGATGAAATCCTGGCTTATTTAAGTTAAGTAACTTGCTCTAAGTTACATAGTAAATGAAGAAGCAAGAACTTGAACCCAGGCAGTCTGACTCCAGAGCCTTCCCTCTCAACCACTAAGTGATAAACTTCACCTAAGCTATCAAAGCTCATAAAAAGAGAATTTTGAACACTTATATCATCTTTTTTTTACCAATGAAGCATCACATTTAAAAAATGTTAAACTTGTTTTTGTAATAGCCAGTGTTGAAAGAGTTTCTAAAAGTGTTCAATATGTTCTTGTGGGTCAGAGAAGAAAACCCATTTTTTTCTTAGACTTGTTGTAGAATATGTAATAGTTAAAATAATTTCCAGGAAGTTTCCAGTATGGTTTTTATGGAGAAGTAGTGTTATTCTAAAGTGGGGGAAAGCAGAAAAAAACATCTGTATCTGTAAAGTTTATTGCCTGGTTAATGTGAACCAAGAGTTCTAATTGCCCTCTATATATAGTTGGGGATTTAGACTGCTCACTATTTATCCACCTAGAGAGTAGCAGTGACTAGGGCTCTGCTTTAGTTCATACCTCAAGTTAAGGGGGAATTAAGGAAAGACCACGAGGGACATTTTAGGGATAGACTTGAGAGAACATGTTAATTGTGCCTTCCAAAGAAACAGGGGGTCAAATCTTAGTTATTTTAGCATAAGAAATCTGGAGAATATATAATTTTTATTTTTGGTTTAGTTATTCATTAGTTTTGTTTTATTAGATTGGTAATTTTCCTTTAAAAAATTACAATTTAGCCGGACACATTGGTGCACACCTGTAATCCTAATGACTGGGAAGGCTAAGGCAGGAGGATTGCAAATTTGAGGCCAGCCTCAGTAACTTAGGGAGATTTTGTCTCAGAAACCAAAACCAAAACAAACAAAAAATTTACAATTTGTCTTCTCTGAACTAGGTATCTTGAAAACCCAAACTGTTAACATCTTGCCTCTGCCAGTGTCTTAGTTTCCATGCTAGTCTACCAGCTCCATTTCTGAAAAGCCAGTTTCTGCACCACAGTCACAGTAAAATTTTAAAAATGTAACTCAGGGGTCAGGGTGCAACTAACTGGTATAGCAAGGGCAAGGCTCTAGGTTTGATCAAGACACACACACACACACATACATACACACACACCCCGTAAATTAAAATATCCCCAAATGAGACCATCTTGTCAACCTTTTCTTCTAAGAGCTTCCCATTTGCATCATGACTCCTTTTCTGTGCCTCATTTATTTTTTTAAAAAAATATCTTTATTTGTGTTTATTTTATTTATTTATGTTTATGTGGTGTTGAGGATTGAACCCAGGGCCTCAGGCACAAGGGGCAAGCACTGTACCACTGAGCCACAACTCCAGCCCCCCCAGCCTCATTTCTTTCCACTCTTCTCATGTGGTAAGCTACCAGTGACCTTTAAACACACCTTGCTTACTCCTAATTCTGCACCTTTTTGTTCTCTTTTCTTTATACATGGAGCCTTTTTCCACAATTCATCCTCTGGGCCTGAACTAAAATGTTGCTGTCTCATAGCAACTCTGTTTTTATTTCTTCATCTCTGATTATGTATTTATTTGTTTTTCTGTCTCTCATGACAAACTACCTGTAAGCTAAAAAGAAACTTTTCATGAAGTCACGTCTCTTTTGTCACTGCTCTTCTCTAGCTAGGGTCTGACCAGGTCTTCAAAGGTATTATCAAAGGTAAAAACTGTAAGAGGAACAAAAACCCCCACAGAAACAGAAATGATAGTGGGACAGAGAAGAGGGGGAAACCTGGCCGGAGTGGGAGGTAGAGAGAAGAAATCAGCTGCTTAACTTTGTCCACTGGAGGATATTTGCAAATGAATACACAGGATAGAATTAAAA